ACACCAACATCGTCGAAAATAACGACGACAACAGCAACAATATCAATAACATCCACTCAAAAGTATAACTCTTGAACAGAGTTTCTATTACCGCAACAGAAGGATTCTCTTGTTCAACTTGTATTGAGGAAGGTTCAAAATCTTCTTTAATGCCGGTTGAACCAGAAGGTTCTTCCACATCTCATCCTGGTTCTGATCCTTGATCAATATCTGACCATCCCTCATAGTTAAATTCTTCAACATGAACAGATCGAGTAACGACTTTTTTGTTGAATTTAGCAATAAGTCTTTTGAAAGAAGGAATTTTTTAAAAATTATTTTTGTAAAGTTGTAAAATTCAAACTGTCTCGAAAAAAATTTTATATTTAAATAAATTTTCACTTTGCAAATCAAACTTTATTTCAAAATAATTGGTTCTTTACAAGAGAATTCTTAAAAGTTTTTCCGAAAATACAAGTTTTAAGATCAACTCAGAACGAAACATCTAAATTCACACCACAAAATCAATAACATCCATTCAAAATAAAAATAAATTTATTAAAATAAAAATACATAAGATTTTTAACGTTCTGGTTGATCAAGAATAAGCAAAATATACATTCTTGATCAACCAGAACATAAAAAATCTATCAGAAAAATAAACAGATCAACTGTCTATTCTCTTTACATTGAAGATAATTTCAATTTAATCGAATCTACAAATTCGTTAAATTGTTTTCTAACTAACTCTAAAAAATTGTTAAAAAAGTTCTTGTTTCATTCGAACTTCTACCCTTTCAGATAGAAGTTGAACGTTTAAAAAATAAACATTAGATGTGTAATAAATATACACACCAAAGCAAATTAAAATAATAAAAATTAAAAAAAATTAAAAATAAATACTATTCTTTAAGAATAATATCATGTTGATGAGTTTCTCCACCATTTTTTCGAGAGAACAAATTTTGTTCTCATATTGTTCAAATTCAGTTGCCAATCGATCTGAAAAATCAAATTATATTTAATATGAATAAATAAATAATAATTAAAATACAAATATTTACCATCAGAAGTGACAACAAC